TTAAATTATGCCTGAGAGAAAGGTCTGGCCAGAGAGCAGACTACAACCTGTCTCTTATACACATCTAGATGTGTATAAGAGACAGGGTCATGTATGCAAGTTCAAGAATCACCAAATGAGGATAGAGGATCAAAGCGAAACACTGCGGAAGTCTTAAGCAGAAAAATAGACGCATTATCCTGACAATGTGGGCAGACTCTCACCAGACGCTGACAATGGTTACTGGTACTGATTACTCAGAGTAGCGGTGAGGGAGCGTACGTTGAAGAAAACCTTCCGTCATCGATAACATTCACAGACGGAGGTGGGAGGTGGAGGTAAAGTGGGAGGAGTGAAGGAGAAGAAGAAGATGACGACGACGACGAAGAAGAAGAAGAAGAAGAACACAAGATATGACAATGCTGATGTGATAACTCTCACGTGTCAACTCCACATCTTCTCCTGTGGCCAACAAAAACAACTCTCCTGCACTCTGCCCGAGGGAGCAGCACTCCCGAAAGTAGATGCCGAGTCCCTATCTCCCTCCCTCTCTCTCTCTCTCTTTCCAAGTGTGCTGAGCTGCGAAGAAGAAGAAGAAGAAGAAGAGGAGGAGGAAGACAAAGACGGAGAGAGGAAAATTAATTTCTTGAGTCTCTCTCGTTGTACTAATCTGCGAAAGGTAAAGCATTGAGCCGCTGATGTGATGAAGGCCGCAGGTAGAATGCTGGTAATTGCACACATGTACGCACTGGCTGTAGTCTCAGGTGTCTCCTCCTTTCCTTGCAAATGTCCTCTCCTCCAATGTCTAGCCTATTCCTCTAGGCCTGGTCTCCTGTGCAGTCTCGCAGTGTGGTGGCATCCAAGTGTGAATGGTGGAATTTGTCCCAGTCTAGCGCAATGACCGCCTAAGCACCCTGAGCCTGGGTCAGTCCTGGGCGGCATCAGTTCTGGACCGTCGACATCTATGCTGATCAACAGTACAGCAGTGGGCGCTACAATCCTGGTCCAGCGACCTTCACACCCAGAACATGTGGCTCGGTTTGAGCCGACTGTCCAGTCCCATATGCTGCATCAGCAGCACTGTTTGGACTCCCGGCCCTAATGTGGACTGAAGTTGGTCCTGGACTATAACGGCCAAACTGAGCAACTGCTACCTGACCAGACACCAGTCCGAACAGGCACTCGTTTGAATGGACGAAACCCAAGAAGGCACCAGTCTCCGGCAAAGGACGGTAATGCACAAAAATACCAATAAAATTAGAGCAATTGGGAAACAGACAAAAAAACTGAGCATGGCCAATGGTTGAGGACTCCCTGAATGCTCCCAGGCCCAAAATCAGGGCTAGGCAGGCACAGAGCTGCCAAATAAAGGTCCCGGCCTGGCGAGGTGGTCTCAGCATGCCATACACACACACTGAGAGAGAGAGAGAGAGAGAGAGAGAGAGAGAGAGAGAGAGAGAGAGAGAGAGAGAGAGAGAGAGAGAGAGAGAGAGAGAGAGAGAGCTCTGATGCTGCTGGAGAGAGCCACGAGTTGATGAATTTCAGCTCAGCGTTTATTGGTGTGGTTGAGCCATGCTCTTGCTTCGGTCAAGGTATTTGTGTACAGAGCTTTGGTGTTGATGTGGGCAATCCTCTCTCCTCATGGGTGTTTGTGTGGACCCCAGCCTATATGGATTGTGCTCTTAGCCGCCTGATGCCTTCCAGCTCTCCCCCTTAGGAAAAAAAACGTAGCATTATGACTGTAGCTCCTGCCATTCTGGTCAGTGTTAGTGCGTTTCACATTCCACATACATGATAGACATTAGAGGATCATCATTTTCGCTGTGTTGTTTTTTCCTTGGCCTTGTCTCTCAATGTGAACCGTTTTTCGTTCTAAGTGTCTATTTGTCCGATTAGTTGGCTTATACGTTTACTCTTTGGGTGTTTATGGTGGATGAACAGATATTCTCTATGTTGTCGAAGCGGCCGGTTCTCTTATCCCCAATGGTAGCATTGAAAGCACTCATTATAATTCACAAGCTTATGCAGCAGGGGTCTCCTGATTCATTATTTGCTTGCCATGGCAAAATCTCCCTTTTGCAAGATGTGGCAGGCACATGGTCGACTAGTGGCGTGGCATCTGGAAACACGTCTGCTTCTGCTGCTACCACTGGCAGTGGAGGTAATGCTGAGGTGGTAGGGACGGCAGCTGGAGCAGCAGACACTTCTCGTGATACTGCTGGAATGGATGCATACCGGTCCTTGATTACCACCTATGCGCTGATTCTTGCGGACAAAGCTGCGTTTCATCACCGGTTCCCAGCATATGAGAACAACTACTCTGTGAATTATGCTGTTTCATCCTGTGGAAGCAAGGGATCGGTTACTGGAGGAGTCAGCTGTGGCATGCATGTAGCAGATGGTTGTGATTCACTCACTCCTGATGCTCTGGCATGGTTACAGAGAATTCAAGACCAGATTTTGCGGGCACTTGACGAGGGGTTTGATTTGTTAAACCGGAAACGCGCAAGTGTGCAGGATAAAGGGAGTGGGGCTGCTTTTGGAAGTCCCAGTCCTGCAAATGGTACTCCCACCTGTGTAGGCGTGTATTCAGGCACTGGGGGTGAGAAAGGCAGTGGCCAAACCGATGCGATCGGGCTAGTGGTTTCTGCCCTTGTACCCCTTTTAAAAGAAGCCGATCTTGTCTATGACATCTGCTGGCACCTGCTTATAGTGCTGACTGCGAATTCAAGCTCAGGTGACTCGTCTGGAGGAAGTCAGAGCAATTCACAGACTGCAGGAGGTAAAAATGAGCTGTCTACAATGATTGTGAAGTTTGAGGTGCATCATCGCCTGCTACGGAAACTTTTTGAACAGGCCAGGTCAGAGATTTCAATTGTCGGGACTGTTGTGCCACCAGAGCTACCAGCTGAACCTCCACGTCTTCCATCGCCAATGGATTCACCTCTCCCATCCCCAAGAAGAAGGTAAGTTGCATGATCTGAGCGCACAGTTAAACCTAACTGATTGTCCTAATGCACACACTGCGGATTTGATTGAGAATGCTGAGAATGGTGATGCAAGTTGGCACTGACGTTGTCTCATGCTGTGGGTGGTCGGTGCTGGGTTGTGCAAGTGGGCAGATCCCTGGGTGTTCTCTCCCTGCTTCATCAATGAAGCACTTGTGTGGCGGTTGTGGACGACTCTTGCGTGTTCTGTCGGTGAAAAGATGATGGGGACCCTGTAGTTGATGTGAATACATTCGATGAAAACATCAAACCAGACAAAATGCTTTTGGTGAGTATTATGATACTATTATCTGATAGTCAGAAATGCATGGAGTGGGATTTTTTAAATATTGGTAGTTCTAGATTCCTGTTGCCGGTTGAAGCAGGCTGAGATAAGTTTTCTGATTTGTGGGCGAGCTTGATACCGTGATCACTGACAGGCTGATGTATGATGGTTTTTGTGCTTGGGCCCAGGTTCCCCCAGCGGCATAACGTGAGTGGACTTGGAGGCGTCACAGACCGTGAACGCGAAGCCGTTTTGCATGCGACTTCAGGATATCAGGGGAAATTGCCTGGCATCAGAGGCGAAGAGGAGGCTGTTCTAGCATCTGATCACATGCGTCTGCAACCATCAGCAGTGCATTTGAGGAGATCATCCTCGGATTCACCGGTCGAAGGGGTCTTGAATACATCTTCAGCTGATGATTTGTGGATGAATGTCTCCACTATGTGGCAGGGGTCAGCATTTTTACATAAAAATGGTGGGCGGGTGATGGATGGGATTCCCACTGACGGAGGTGGTACGGCTGGTGTTCAGGCTGAAGTGGGTGGAAGGGGTGGAGGGATGGGGGACACTGTCAGCCTTGCTGGTGGAGGAAGGGTGCCTGTTGCTCAGGGCCCTCTTATGAGTCCACATATATTCCCAGGACGGACTGAGGATGACAGGAGAGGTGCAAGCTGTATCACAAGCAGTACTCCCGAGGGTTGTCCATTTGATGCCATGCAGGGCTTTCAGGGTGGTACAAGGGCTAGTAGGGTGTCTGGACCAGAAGCTCTTCATATGCATATATTGGGTAATGGTCCTGGTGCTGGGGCAACAGGGCTAAGAGGGAACACTTTGGAAGAAGCAGGCCCTTCTCAAGAAGGGCAGGACATGGCAAGGAGATGGGCAAGTTTTGATGGTAATATGTTCTTCATGGGTCATGGAAGGAATGGTGGGTTTGGAGACCTCACTTCTGGGGAAGGAGGCTTTACAAGGGGAATTCCTGATGGCGTGGGATTACGGGTTGGGGGGGATGTTATGCCTGGAAGCGCACCTTTTGAGATGGGGGTTTCCATGCTGGGTGTCGGCAGTCCCATTGAGCTGGGCCCAACAGTTGTCCCTGGTAGCCCCTTACCACCAGCTGGGAGAGGGGGTGAAGACGCGTCAGCATATGTTGCATCGCCTTTAGGGTGTCCAGACACATTTAATTTAGGGCCATGTATGAGAATGAACGAAAATGTGACAGGTGTGGGAATGGGCTCTGGATCACTGATAGGATTTGGCGTTGGTGGTGCAGTACAACTGCAACAGCCACAGGATCCGCAGCAGCAATATCAGAACATGATGCTTGAACACCATCAGACACAGGGTCAGCAACAGTTCGACTTCCAGCAGCAAAACCAACAGTTCGAATTCCAACACATTCAGCAGCAGATGCAAGGGCAACCGTTTGAATTTCAGCAGCACTTTGAGCCACAAATTATCCTCCAACAGCAGCCACAGCAACATCAGCAGCAGCAACAGCAACTACAACAGCAGCAACAGCAACTACAACAGCAGCAACTACAACAGCAGCAACTACAACAGCAACAATTACAGCAGCAGCAATTACAGCAGCAGCACTTACAGCAGCAGCAGCTCCAGCAGCAGCAGCTCCAGCAGCAGCAGCTCCAGCAGCAGCTGCAGCAGCAGCAACAACTACAACTAAAACAGAAACAGCAGCAATTGCAGCAGCAGCAGCTTCAACAACTGCCGCAGCAGCAACAGCTGCCGCCACCACCACAGCAGCAGCAGCAGCAGCAAGTAGGTCAATATCATATGGGAACGACGCTGTGCTATCCAGTGTCACCTGTGATGGCACATCAGCAACAATCACAGTTACCACCATTGCTGGATCTTCTGGATGGGCCTATTTACAATCCACCTGCAGTTGTTATTCATAGTCCTGAACTCAAGCCTGTCCAGGCCTTGCAAACTCAGCCACCAGCACTGGTTTGTGGCAACGCTGTAGCCCAACCAGAGCCGGCGGTAGGTAGGATGCTGCCTGCACAGATGAAACTAGATGTTCCTGTTGTAAGCCCCTTGCAGCAGGGGGCAGCAGCCTCCACACCCCAAACGCAATGTGCGAGGAATGCTGATCTAGACTTTACTGTGTTGCAAGGACCCAACTCCTGGTCTATGGGTGGTTCCATGTCTGATTCTGCCGCTTGGGGGGAACCCTTTGGAGAGGAGGGTGAGGACAGTGGTGTGGATGGAGAACAGGCCAACCAAAAGGGAAAAGGTGGTGCCAAGCTCAACAAGTCTGGAAGAGTGGACAAGGTTGATCTAGCTGATTGGGAAATACCCTTCGAAGAGCTGAAGCTAGGTCCGAAAATTGGGCAGGTGTGTGGCAGCTATTCCTTTGTACCGAACTCCTGATTCTTCTGGTTCTTTCAGCAATCTGGCTCTCCATTGTCATGTGCATGAGAGAATGTAGGGGGATACGTGGGGAAAGGAATATGTTGTACAGAGGAGTTGCTTGGACCATGCTCTGTGTTTGCTAGCAGAGGGCATGCATATACTGCCAAGGTGGGTGGTTGGGCCTGGAAACAAATGACATGTTCCCCAGCACCTCTTTGCGAACTGTGAGTTGTCAACTTTGTGAAGTGCCCGCAGCGGTGAACTTCTGGCAGCAGTGGATATTGCTTTTGGCGCCTGGACCTTGGTTGGTTCTCATGGAGGAGGTCCAAGGGAGAATAGTACAGAGGCGTGATAGTTGCGTAGCCTTGCTTGCCATGACAGCCATGAAAATTGTCATGTGGGTGTTCTAGACCACAAGGAATACCGTGCATTGGTACAGAAGCATGATTCTTCCCTTCATCTCCTTTCTTTCCGGAAGGTTCACCCCGTGATAGCATTTTATTGGAATGGCACGGAAGGTTCACCCAATTAAGGCGTGTACCACCAGATCCATACCCCATAGATGGCTTCAACCACTGGAACATGATGGCAGTATGATGCATCGCAATAATTCCTTAAGCTTCTTTATACCTGATACTATATGATATGATATAATCCGAACCAGAATTCATATCATAGACTGAATGCCTTTTGTATTGTTCATATGCTGTTGTGAGTCAGTTCTGAGTCAATTCCTGCCCTTGCACACCCTTCGTGGGTCCACCATTTTCGCTCCTGCTGTACTGTGATGCACCTGAGAAGCCTGTTCGACCTCCAGATTGCTTTGGTGCTTGGCGTCTGGGTCAGTGCGCTATGGGATGTAAGTTCATGTAAATTGCATCATGGTTGACTGATGGATTGAATAGTCTGCAACCTTGTGTGTCTGCAACAGGGGGCCTTCGGTGATGTTGTTCGAGGAGTGTGGCAAGGCACAGATGTTGCTGTCAAGCGCCTCCAAAATGTGGTCCTCTCAGATGGGAACAAGGAACAGGCAGCGGAGGACTTTCGGAGAGAGGTTGGTTTTGACTCTGCTGTTATGATCTTGGCCAATTTCGAAGTACACATTCATGAGAAAATACAATGCCGCCCAATTGCAAAAAGAAAAGAATGAACTTGAGAGGAGAGAGTGGGAAAGAAGAAGAAGAAGAAAATGAAAGAAAGTAGAAGAGGAAGATGTACACCAGCAAAGACCAGTGAGAATCCCCTTCTTTTTCATCAACCGCTCTCCTCCTCCCTCTTATTCAACAAGAAATAATAATAATAATGTTGAATGGCTGAACCAGAATCAATGTCTGAGTCCCTCTTCTACTGCAGGTATCACATGAGGTCCACCATAGCCATGGCCACCCTTCTTCCTCCTTCCTCCAAGGCCGAGGCTATGTCGGACTACCAGGGCCTGGCCCTGCTGTGCAAAGGACAACACAAAACAGCTATGGCTGCTTTAGCTCAGGCCGCCATGCCTGACTCTGCCTCGAAGCTTCTTGGTGTAGCTCTACCCCATCCATTTCAAGATCTCATGATCTGAGAAAACTTTGAAGTGGCCCAAAGCCATGCGCAAAGCATAAAGTTCGCGCAGGTAGGGCGAAGTAGCTACCTTTTCGCTGGGCATGTGTTTGCTGTAGAATTCGAGTGGATGCAAGCCATCACCATCATCTTGTTGCAGCACCGCGCCAATTCCGTATTGGTTCTAACGGCCGCCCGACTAAACTTGCCAATAGTGACAAAATTCATGTGAGCTACTGAAGAATACGCAATGATCCGTAGTGACTTCGAATGTGAGTTTGGGATCCGCAATGCGGAGCACAGGATGACTCACCAATGCCTCTTTCAAGGTTTGAAAGGGAGTATCACATAGTATCACATGCTTCATCCCATGTGCAAGTTACCTTTTTGGTTGATAGTTTGGACAATGGGCGAGCAATGATAGGAAATTTTGGCACACACTTTCGGTAGTATGATGCGAGGCCTAGAAAAAAACGGTAACTAAGCAGTAGTTGGCTGCTTCAACATCTACCGACTTCATACCCTTTGGAAATCAATTAAATTATGCCTGAGAGAAAGGTCTGGCCAGAGCGAGCAGACTACAGCGATCTATCTATCGCTGTAGTCCTCCAGAGGCCTGTTTATTTAAATAAACTGTGCCCCCATTTCTGTTCTATTTCAATTAACGCACACCGTGCATAATAAGAAAGATGGTGTTCGCCGGCGGTCCAATAAGACTTTGAAAGGTGGCTGGTGCGTTCGTGAGCCGAAAGGGCATTACAGTGAATTCGTAAAGCCCATCGCGATTTTTGAACGCGGTCTTGTGCTGGTCTGCAGGTTCGACTTCAATCTGGTGGTACCGAGGTTTGAGGTCGATCTTGGAGAAGACCTTGCACCCACCTGACAAAACCGGCGCACCGAATTCAGGTTCGCTTGGCTTGATCCACCCTTTATCAATCATCTCATCAATTTGCTTCTGGAGTTCCTCCAACTCACTGGATCCCATACGGTATACACAACCTTTTGGAGGAGCAGCGCCTTCTACTAACTCTATCGTTTGTTTGATTGATCGCGTGGGGACTCCACGCAGTTCGGCCAGAACTTTCGGAAATTGGTTGAGTAAGCTTTGGATGTTTGCTGGGATTGTGGGGGGGGGATAAAAAAAATGATCACCTCAATCGGATCGCTGATTAGTTGTGAAGGCAACCGAATCCGAAGTAGAATCATTTGACTAGAAGTAGGTGGAGAAGTAGAGATACTAGAAGGAGGCACATTAGGCAAAGTAGGATTTGTACTAGCCGCAAAAGAAGAAGGCACATGAATAGGACAAACAAAAGCAACATACAATTGCTCCACCTTGTGCTTGCGCCACTTCTTGCAGAACTACATTGCATTGAGATAAGTAACTTGGGATTCACTCCTATTGTGTAGTAATCGTGTGTGTTGATTTCCCAAAGCATCATGCACCACAAAGAGATCAGCCTTCCACTTTGTCCATTTGCATTGGGACCGTAGCCAGCCCAACCCGAGGACTGCGTCAAAAGGGCACTTGTCAAGTACATAGAAGTTGAGTGCATGTATGACTGTCTTATCTTTGTCAAAGGTAGTGCGCACACCTTTGACCGCATGCATAGAGGAGACTTCTTTGTTGCCTACTTGGGTCTGGCAAGGGGCCTGCAACTCCACTTGCCTCATTCCCAAACCCACCTTGCGCACTCTGTGTGGAGACATGAGGTTAGTAGTTGCGCCACAATCAACCAAGACACGGAGGTGGCGGTGGTTAATGAGAAGCTTGAAGAAGAGTAATTCCACTTTCCTTGAGCACGCCGCTGTTTCATCTCATCCCAATGGAAGTTAACCTTCTCGGACTCCTCCGAAGGCTCATCATAGAGTACATGGCATGCGTCAACCTTGGAATCAGCAAATGAAGGGGCTTCAAGAGAGGACTGTTGATCTGCGTCACGTTCAGTCTCCCTTGCTGAAGGTGCTGATGCCAACTCTACGCCTGATTCGGGTTTCCGTGCAGCCTATAACAACTTTGGACTTTATGGTTGGGTTTCACGCAATGCAGACAGACTCCCTTCTTGATCCTAGCCTTCCATTCACTTTCGCTAATCCGGAGGTCCAACCAAGGTTTGGTTGCAGCATCCTCCAGCTTGGCTCGGATCTTGGCTCCTTTGGGGAGTGGGGCTTCCCTGAGTTTCGGTTTGGTCCTTTCACATGGGCCGACTTTCTAAAGGCATCAAGTTTCTCTTCGTCATTGTTAATATCAGATCCATGGGCTGAAGATGAACATGCTGTATTAGAGTCCTGCTCTTGATCCTCATCAAGAGTGGGGTCAGTTGCATAGGCCTCCTTATCAGCCTCCAGCCGGTCATGCACAGTGAAGCGGTTGCTGCCGCCTATAGGGTTCTTGCTGCCTGCTGTTGAAACGAGGTCTTGTGCCTTGAGGCCTGACTGCATCTTGCATGAGGGAAAGCCAGTCCGTATATCCAATGAGATCTCTGCCTAGGCGATGTGTGTAAGTAGTGGGAACCACACCTTTCACAACATCCATGCATGACTGTGCAGTCATTTCCAACCCGGGAGTAGCAAAAAGTTTGCTTAGATACAATTGGAGGTTGTGCATGTTGCCCAACCATTTGCTGCGCTTGAGATTGTCAAGCTTGTTCCTTACTCTCACAGCAGCATGTGGATCTTTATATTGTTTAATCAAGATCTCTTCTAGTGTCGCCATTGGTGTGGCCTTGAGCCATTGCGTCAGATCAATCTTAGTACACCCGGCTTGCATAGCTTGGACTGCAAAGAAGCCCCGTGGGAATCAATACCACAGGGGAGTAGGAAAAGAAACCCAGAGTAACCCCAACAGGGCAAACAATACCATGCACGCACATACATGGGCATCCCGTAGGCGCACGGCACTTACCTGAGTGGCCTGAGCTTCAAATGAATAGAATTTGCCCCCCTCTCATATGGTCCTCCTGACCCCTTTAATGCAACCCCTACACTAGTGTCCTATCTACTAGGAGGGTCTGACTCCAGCACCAAAATGCAATGCGGGATCCCCTGCCGATGCTGAAGAACAAAGTAGCAACTTGCAGTCCGTAGATGCAGAATGGCTGCTTTCCCTCAAGCTCGCCTACTTGAGGGAAGCCCTAAAGTTGCCAAGTGTCTCCCTTGAATCAGATTCCAGGTGCGAGTGCCTCTCACTGTTGCCTCTCCCAAATTGTAGCACAAAGTCTTCTCGAAGTGTCTCGCCACTCCAAACTTACTCTCACGCAACCTAGTTAGGTTAAGTGTCAACCCATCACGACCTAACCAGGTGGGGGCAGCTTCCCTTAACCACGCTGCCCCACTTCCCTCAACTTCCAGTCCTAACCCTAAGTGGTAGCCCCCATTTAGGTTAGGGTTGGAGCGGCACAGTCAACGCTCACCAGCAAGTAGAATTGGCTCTGATACCAATGTTATGATCCTGGCCGATTTCGAAGTACACATTCATGAGAAAGTACAATGCCGTCCAATTGCGAAAAGAAATGAATGAACTTGAGACGCGAGAGAGGGAAAGAAGAAGAAGAAGAAGATGAAAGAAAGAAGAAGAAGAAGATGTACACCAGCAAAGACCAATGAGAATTCCCTTTCTCTTCACCACCCGCTTGTCTCCTTCCCTCGTATTCAAACAAGAAATGATAATAATGTTGAATGATGAACCAGAATCAATGTCCGAGTCCCTCTTCTACTGCAGGTATCACATGAGGTCCACTATAGCCATGGCCACCCTTCTTCCGCCTTCCCCCAATGTCGAGGCTATGGTCGATTACCAGGTTCCGGCCCTGCTGTGCAAAGGACAACACAAAGCAGCTATGGCTGCTTCAGCTCAGGCCAACGTGCCTGGCTGTGCCTCGAAGCTTCTTGGTGTAGCTCTACCCCAACTGGGCCCTTCCAGATGCAGCGCCCACCAAGGTGATGAAGATGGCATCCACCATAGCCAGACAAGTACCTCTGGCGCTCCTCCTTCCTAGTGCTGGTCTTCTTCCTCCTCCGGTCCTTGCTCCTCCCCAGCAGCGCTGCTCTGATGCTAGCGCTGCTCCCGCCAGCGCTCCAACCAGTGTGTCGGCAAACTTGCACACCGACAATGAGGAGCAGCACTTCGGTCCTCCTGAAGATATAGCGGCCTGCTTGCCTCTTGGCGAGTGACTTCCTAGGTCGCACGGCCTCCAAGCAACCGGTACCTCCTCCCACTCGGAGGGAAACATCATTGCAGACTCTGATATTGCCCTTACAGGCCCTAGACTCAGACTGGTTGGACTGGTACCTGCCTAGACGTAGCCTTCATCTACTGGGCCTCTAAAAATGTCAACTTTGTCGTCTTCTGCTCGGCCTCGAGTACCCGGCACATCTACCTCTGCCTGGTGTGGTACTGGCCTACCTGCTACTTGAGTGTTTTTCCGCAGCTTCAAGTGTCTCAGGCCTCTTTCCCACCACTTGAGTGTTTTCCCCGCTGCAACCCTTAATGCCATGGCCACAGGTAAGTACCGGCCCTTTGGGCCTTCCACACAGACAAGTACCCTCGCGGGTCACACACACTCTCAAACCGACAAGCACTCAGACAGGCATGCAGACCAGCAAGCACGCACACACTCAGACATAGAAAACTCAAGAACAAGCGGGAATATCAGCAAGGCATGCATTCCATTGGCAAAACTCAGAAATCAGCTGTGTGTCTCAGTCCATGCTTGGCAGGTCCTAACACTGCACTGATATTGTGGTTCAATTTTTTTGTGAAGGCACTCATCAGGATCATCTGTGCTATTTAACATGTGGTTGCTCTTCTGTGCCACACGTGCGGCACAGAGTAGAGTCTAGCATTGGAATTGACATATTATTTGGAGGGCAAATTTGCGAAGTAGCTGTAATCAACATGACCTGTACATCAGATATAAGGTCTTGATATGACTGGCAAATTTGCAAAAAAGACAGTAACCAAAATTGGAGGGCAAATTTGCAGAGCAGCCATAGTGTCATCTCAACTTTAGGCTTGCAGAGGCAAGTAATCAGGTGTAATTCCATTAGCACATACACCCAGCTCCTCAATGACTTCATGAGTCCCATGGAAATGAAGGGTGCCGGCATCATGCTGTATTGGACACTCAAATGGAGGTTTTCGCAGCATCCTGGTGTGCATGCATGAAGGGGAGAAAAGGGGCTCTTAGCCCGATCAGGAAAGAGTGTTTCCATGTTCTGCACATGGAATTTGGTGTGTCCCCATTGGACTCTTCAGTATGGATGTCTATCGAGCAATTGGTTGTTGCCTGATCTTTAGCGTTCACATCCAGAGGTGACGGGTTTGAAGATTGATTCATGATGGTCATCTGAATTGCAGCACCGTATGTTTCTGTGGGTTGATGTTGCTTTAACAGGTTGCTTTGGTACATAAGCTGCGTCATCCAAATGTAATACTCTTCATGGGTGCATGTACAATCCCTCCAAACCTGTGTCTTGTCATGGAGTTCGCAGCCAATGGAAGTCTCTATGGTGTATTGAGAAATCGAAACATCAACATTGATATGCCAACTGTCATACGGTGGGCCACAGAGGCTGCTAGGGGGATGAATTATCTGCATATGCGGAGGTCTGTTTGATTTTCCCTCTCATTCTTAGCTGACCTTCCATTCTTAATGAACGTATCTGCTGGGTTTATTTGATCAGCCTCTTTGGTCTCAGCCCAATCCTTTGGAGTTGTCAGGTTTTGGGGCTTCTCTCGCCAATGTGTTGTTGTTGTGTCTTTCTTGAGTGCCATCCACACGTCCTTCCATTACCTTCCCATCTGTCTACTTGTTTTGTCTTCCCGATTGACATTGAGTGCCATCCACACAGTCCTCCATTGCCTGCCCTGCAGCCACCTACATGGGGGAGGCGAATTGCAGATCCGGTTCTAGGTTGTTTGCTTAGTTCTCGGATTCTCTCCTCTCCCATAGTGGGATGGATTTGCTGG